GGGGAGGAGGCAGGAATCTTTAATAAATAAATAAATTTAAAAAACAAGGATTTATTTTTACTTATTTATATATGTACGTATGCATGCATGCATGTATGTATGTATGTAAAATGTCATGCATGTATGTATGTGTGTCTTCAAAAGACAGACTGGCATGCTGGATACCTTGGAGCTAGAGATACAGGCAGTTGTGAGACACCTGATCTGGATGCTGGGACCTGAACTCTGGTCTTCTGCGAGAGCAGTAAGCACATCTAACTGCCGAGTCACCTCTCCAGCCCCTTGAATTTATTTTAAAATCTTTTATCACTAAACTCTGACTTTGAAATCATATTGTATTTTCTGTGGCATAGTCAAAGATCCTGGCTTCATCTGAGTGGCAGTTTCTCCAAAGATGCTCCGGGACTCCTGCCCTGCTTCCTCCACTGAGGCCCCATAGCTCTGCTCTTCTATGACGGTTATGTGACAAGGTCAGCTGCACTTTGTAGGGCTACCACTCTTTGCTGTTGGTACCAGTCCAGATGCAGACATCTGGGCCGGCTGTATTGGGTAGACAGGGGGCAGGCAGGGGTGTTACCTGGATTAAGATAGCTTTACTCTGGGGGGCCCAGGACTGACTTCCCTCAAGAACCCAAATCCAGGCAGGGATGGACACTTAATGAGTTTGGACTATGTAAGGTCAAGTTATAACAGTGACACCGTGTGGCAATCAGGAAGAAGGCAGTTGGACAAGCTCCTCTCTAGGTGAGGAACCTACCCGGGGAGGCCATGTAAGTCCCTGGATCTACTATAATTCCAAGAGGGGGGTGGGTCTTTGTTTTCATATTATTTTGTTAAAAAAATTTACTTTTCATTTTACATACCAACCTCAGTTCCCCCTCCCTCCCCTTTTCCCACCCCCACTCCCGTTTTTCATACCCCCCCCATCCACTCCTCAGAGGGGGTAAGGTCTTCCTTGGGGAGTTGTCAAGGTCTGGGATACCAGCTTGAGGCAGGGCCAAGCCCCTCCCCCAGTATCTAGGCTGAGCAAGGTATCCCACAGCAGGGAATGGGCTCCAAAATGCCAGTTCATGCGCCCGCCCGGAGGTGCCACTGCCAGGGCTGAGAGGGGCCGTTCTTGAGGCAAATCAGTGTACTTTCTACTGTTAACGAAGATCAGGCAGTGCTTCAAGTCTATGTCCTTGTCTGTGGTGTGGCGATAAAGTCTGAGCTGAGAGAATCTTTGGTGATATTAATTTGTGTCTTTTTTTTCTACATTCTCCATATTTCCTGAGGATATAGGGAATATGGAGAATATTTGCTGGCTCTACCCCCCCCCAAATCAAAGGGTGTTCAGGTTTCCTCTACCCAAATCCACGGTATATTATCCCAAATACTTTAAATCATCTTGATTCTTTTAAAAATCTGTCTGTTGTTTTTGAACAATGTCTGGCTGTATGCTTTGTTGTAGCCTACACTGGCCTCTAACTCATGGTGCTCTTTCTGCCTCGGCTCCAAGTGCTGGATTCAGAGTGAGTTCCACTCCACTATGACTTGCTAGATTACTTATATCTAACAATAAAAGTAGATATCCCACTATATTGTTTAGGGGACAATTTTAAATCTGTGTGTGTTCATTAAGAGTGCATTTCCCCTGTCCGCAGGGCACTGTGTTCATAGATGCAGAGGCCAAAGGATAAAAAGGGCAACTGTTTTCCTCCCACACCCCAGCCGCTGCAGATCTTCCTGCATTTCTCATCTCTGCAGCTTTGGCAAGGAGAAAACACAGTCCGACATTCATGGCTGTGCCTAGCTTCTGTAAAACCCTGTAGACTTTCAGGGTGAGTACCGGTTGTTCAGTTAGGGCCATCAACGAAGGCAAATGGATTTAAAGATGAGAGTGCAAAGTCCTGGATAGGGGTGGGGATGGAGGCGGGGTGGGGTGGGGTAGGTTGGTAGGCATCGGCGGGGGGGGGGGGGGGGGGGGGGGGGGGGGTAATGGTGAAAATCCCTCCCCTGGCTTCCTGACCATGTTCTGAGGCTCAGAGGTGTTTTGTGGGATATTTGTACACTGTGTGAAGATGTATTGCTGTAACTGGTATAATAGAGAGCTGAATGGCCAATAGCAAGGCGGGAGAAGATAGGCAGGATTTCCAGGGAGAGAAAGAGAAGAGGAGGAGAAATCTAGGCATACGGATTTCACCAGAGCAAATTGGACACAGCATCCTGAGGAGAGGTAGCTGAGCCATGTGGCAGAGTGTAGATTAAAAATACGGGTTAATGGGCTGGAGAGATGGCTCAGAGGTTAAGAGCATTGCCTGCTCTTCCAAAGGTCCTGAGTTCAATTCCCGGCAACCACGTGGTGGCTCACAACCATCTGTAACGGGGTCTGGTGCCCTCTTCTGGCCTGCAGGCACACACACAGGCAGAATATTGTTTACATAATAAATAAATAAATATTTAAGAAAACAACGTTAAAAAAATGCGGGTTAATTAAGTTATAAGAGCTAGTTGGAAACAAGTCTAACCTAAAGGTCAAGCTTTAATAATTAATAATAAGTCTCTGTGTCATTATTTGGGGGCTGGCAATCCAAAGATAGTCAGTCTTACAAGAAAGCTTACTGCAAAGGTGGATGAACATTGAGGAAGCAGCCCCAAGAGAATGGTCATGTGGCAAAGGTCACAGGGAGACAGTATAGTCATGGGGTCGGTGGATAATGTGGCTGGACCAATAGGTATCTTAGTGGTGGTATGGGGGAGTAGAGGTCATGTGACAACCTCAATACACCAGACTTTAGAAAAGGGATATCAGTCTGGGTGTGGTGGTGCATACCCTTAATCCCAGCACTTGAGAGGCAGAAGCAGTGGAATCCCTATATGTTCAAGGCCAACCCGGCTTGGACAACCAGAACTATGTAGAGAGGGGCTGTATCTTAACAGATAAATAAATAAATAAATAAATAGAAAAGGAGTGTCCCAAGGACAGCAGTTGTGGGAATTCCTGCCAGCCTGGCAGAATTAAGGATTCAGAATCAAAGCTGAATTGGTACAAAGAGAACAAAATTTCATTTTGTAGCCATAGCTGATTTGGCATGGTGTCTGGCACCCGTGTGCAAGTGAGTATCACACTGCCATCCTTCTGAGTGATGCCAAGGCTGCTGTGACCCACACAGAGCCTAACCCCTTCTTGTCTCCTATAAACATCCTGAGTGTATGAAGGATACAGGGGCAGGGTGGCTTTGGGATGAGTCTCAGCTCTGCATGGGGACAAGCATTCATTTAACGAGGTCTGCCCTGTTTTTACTTGTGACGAGGATGTTGCCTGTTCCTAGACACCCACCATCTTTTCATACCCAGGTCACATGCCCACGAGAGACTGTTCTTCAAGGGAAAAATAATAATTGACTAGCACCGAGGAGCAAGCAACAGAAGAACCTTGAGGTACAGTTACTCAGAAATCCATTTGTGATGCAAATTGGAAACATGTCCCCTAGTCTCCTTAGAGACCCCAGGACTCCCTGAGGATGAGACAGGAAGACCTGGGCCTTGAGTCTCAGCCAGCAGTGGGTTCCCGGGTATGGAATCCCACAAAAAAATAACTCTATTAGTCTCGTGTCATTGGAATCAACCTAGAAGTCTGGATAGCTCCAACTACTAAAAGCTTTGCCTTGTTACTTGGATAAAAAGTTTATGAACATGGAACAGCTGATAGAGATATGGGGGGGAGGACAAAGGAGGCCCCCATGCTGAGACAACAAAGGTCAGAGGTGCAGTGCAAAGTATCACTCCTGTGCCCAGCCTAGAGGTGTATGCCTTTAATCCCAGTTCCCCAGAAGCAGAGGTGGGTGGATTCTGAGTTTAAGGGCAGTCTGGTCTAATATAGAGTTCTAGGCCAGTCAAGGCTACATAGTGAGACTCATGTATCCAAAAAAAAAAAAAAAAAATCACCCCTGTGACCCAATAAAATACTATGCCCCATCTGACCATTCCCCTAAAGAAGCGAATATTCATGCCAAGAAGAAGCAAGAATTTCCTCTGGGCACCACTGCCCAAGCTGCCCAGAAACATTCACTTTCTCAGCATGGCAGTTCCTGCCACCAGGGGCCACTTTCACATATCTGAAGTAAAACATTGTCACTTTTTACATGGAGGCTTAAAAATGCCTATGACGAAACATGCCGTGACCTAGTTTCACTGTCTGTGACAGGGACTGATCGCTTGGTTTCAAAGTCTTGGTCCTAGGAACTCCTGTTTTTTTCCATCAAAGCCTGAAATTACAGGCTCTGGGAGCTGTCCGAGAGAGTTACAGCAACCAGATCCAAGGCCTGTTCATGACTTGAACCCACAAGTTGTCCCTAATGGACTCCACTGTGCTGGGCCTGTGTCCCTGCTGGGGACCAAATATTCACATCCACTGGCTTTCAGCTTGTGAATACATCTAGAACACTGGGTAGAAAAAGATTTCTTAGGGAGGTATGAAAACCAGGCTTGGCCGTGGTCACAATGAGGGGCCAGTGACCAACGGGCTACACTTGAACTGGTCACATGCCATGGCCACAATGTGGCCGTGTTGGCTTCTGGAATCTATCCACCAGCCTCCCTGGGTGGCCTGAGGAAAGGCCTTCTGGATCTTGTATCTGTGGCCGAGTGCCACACCTCCCTCTACGGCCTCCACCCTGGATTACAGACTGCACATAACCACATATTAAGCCCCTTGGAAGCCTCACTCTTTCTCATTTTTAGCTCTGATCATGAAGCTAAACTACTTGAAACATTGCTGGAATAAAAATGTCTGGTTACTAACTTCATCTTTGAGCAGAAAAACTATGAATTTTCCAATCCCTGCAGGCTTAAGTCAAGCTCAGAGTGTTCCATGAATCATTGGTCTGAAAGTGCACCCCTGAGACTTCTCACGTGTCTGAATTTCCCAGCACAGATGCAGTAAAGCAGGGGCTGGGACAAGCAGTGAGTGGATCATGCTGCAGGCTGCATCTCCCCATGCTCCAGAGCCAGCTCCCTACCTGCGAGCCCCAGGTCCAGGTGAGTCCCCTTGCTTCTTCTGTAGAGACTGACTCTTCCCAGGTGGTTGCAATGATCTTGAACTCTGAACTGGTGAAGTACTCTGAACCAGAAGGAAAAGATATTAGGAATGAAGTTAGGAATCTGCAAAAACAGCAATATTTTTCAATGAGCCACTGACCCAAGACATGCATGGTATAGCCTGTGGTCCACAGACGCGCTGCCATCAGACAGACAAGTAAGCAAGGCTGAGAGGATATAGAGGACACGTGGAAAGCTAAGATGAGGTGGTGTAGCTGTCTTCAGACGCACAGTTCCAGTCTAGCAGGATAACTGCTTCAGTATCCCCCAAGAGTGGGGGCTGGAGAGATGGCTCAGTGGTTAAGAGCATTGCCTGCTCTTCCAGTTATCCAGGTTTGATTCCCAGCATCCACAGGGCAGCTCACAACCATTTGTAACTCCAATATCCTCTTTTGGCCTTATGGGCACTAGGCATGCATGTGATGTATGTACATACATGTAGACATGAAAGGAAGGAAGGAAGAAATGAAAGCAAGCCAAGACTGGTGATAGCTATCAAATTCTGGAGGGTTCCTGGAGAAAGAAGGTGTACTTTCTTTATTTTTCTTTCTTCCTTCTTTTTTTATTTTTGGCAGAGTTTCTCTGTGTAGACCTGGCTATCCTGGAACTTGCTCTGTAAACTGGGTTGGCCTCAGACTAAGAGATCTGCCTGAGCCTCTGCCTCCCCAGTACTGGGACTAAAGATGTTTGCCACTACTGTAATCTCTCTCTCTCTCTCTCTCTCTCTCTCTCTCTCTCTCTCTCTGTCCCAGTACTAGGGGTTGAGCCTGGGACCATGTATATGCTAGGCAAATGTTCTACCTCTATTGCCATATCTCTGTTCCCAGTCACTGTTAGTTTTTAAAAACAAATTATACAAGTATCAGGTTAAGAATTGAAGTCACAGAACAGAACAATGAAATGTTTTTCCCAACACTCGATTTAAGTGATACTTGCTGAGACATAGTTCAGAAGTCAGGAAAGGGCAAGGCTCCTGTAAACTCCAAGCCATACTTCCAAAGGCAGTCATTGTGTTTTGTCTTCCCAGGAATGGCCTTGCACCCCCATCTCCCCACTAAACAGCATACCCTTTGGGGAATGATCTGCCTCTGTTAAGTGTTTCACCTATGCCCTCTGACCCTAGGGTCTCTTAGAAAATTGTAAAGCACGATGCCCCTCGCCCACCCACTAGAGTGTGAACAGGCATAGATATGGCCTGGCCCTTCCACAGGATTCCTTGAAGGAACAGAGATGTTCGGGTCTGGTGGTGGATGGATTTCTGAGCACCTTGAGCTTAATCATGGTGGAGAAGGCATCCTACAAGCAAGGGAGGGAGGACCATGTAGAACAAGACTAGGGTAACGCCAAGGAGGGTGCTCTGGTGTGGCTGGACCCATGGACCCATGCTTACTGGCCCACTTAACTAGAAGTGATTGGAAAAGGTGTTGAATACAATATTTTACCTTTCTGGTACAAGTTGGACATTTCCCACACATCTATTACTTGGTCATCTTGGAAGGAAGCAATGCTTTCTGTGGACAAATGAATCTAAGGAGCTATATTTCATAGCCCTCTTTCAGAAATCCACAGAGCATGTTAACATCTTAAAGGTTCTGGGGGGGGGGATCCCACATGAAATAACTTATTGGATTTTACTTTTTTTTTGAGGCAATCTTCTTATGTAAGCCAAAGAGGCCTGAAATTTGTGATTTTCTCTCTCTGTCTCCCCAGTGCTAGGTTTACAGGCATGTACCACCATGACCAGATTAATTCGTTGAGTTTTTGACTCAGAGTACCCAAAACTTCCTGACTAGCCCGTGTTTATGACCCACGTGTTTGTGGTAATGTCTCATAGAACTGATGTTACTAGCAGATACTTTAGAAGGCTGTTATCACATGGCCTCCTTCATTCTGCCCTTGCTTGTTCAATCTGGAAAATGATCCAAATCCTCAGAATAAGATGTCCTGGTGCCTTTGCCTTTATGACTGGGAAGTTGACATTCTTCAGGGTCAGAGGAATGGTTTGAGAGTTGACTATGCCTCTTTGAAGTGTTCTCACCATCATGAGGGAGTGGTGAGGATGGGCACTAGAATCTGGACAAGAAAAAAATACTACAGTCCCTGATTCTGACTGTCGACCACCTTTCTCATCTCGGTGGCACTGTTTCTTCACATGACTCAGACAGAGAGACTTCCTCTGTCCATGGACTTCTCTGGGACAACTGGAGACACAGAAGTCCTCTCATGGACCAATAAATTCATCAATTCAAACCATGGACCCTGCTGTAGCAGAGCATGTGACGAGCATCTCCTCTCAAATATTCTTGGGGAAGAATTGTTTTCGCTGGTTGCTGATTTATTCAACCACCCCAAAAAACATTTGTCAAAAGCCTGCCTAGAAAGTGGGCTTGAAAGTGGGCATGAAAGTGGGCAGGGGAATGTCTGTGTCTCTCCTGAGCTGCTCACAGATTAGGATGACACACACCAAAAGCATGGTTGGAGAGTATAATATGAGGGACGCCGAAGAATGGATCCCACTGTAGGAATGGCACACAGTCTTGTGAGACCTGTGCATGGGCATTCCCCCCAACTCCCCTCCCCCTAAAAAACAAAACAAGTAACAACCTCTAGGCATGGGATTTTGAAAGTTAATTTTGGAGTTTTGAAGGACAGAACATGAACCTTCTACCCTCTCTGAACCTGGGGCTCTTTTTGAGTTCTCGAATCTCCTGTGACATGGCCATTGCCTTTCCCTGACTTTCCCTGCTTCCTTATCTGGGTTTATTCGATTGTGTCCAAAGCCAAACCATAAAGAATACATCACTAGCCAAGAGCCTGGATGGTCTGGAGTGAACATGAATACTACAATGTGAAATCTCCCTTTGCTTTAGCTGACAGATGGTAAGATGAGGAAGGAATGCCTGCCTATAACCCTAGCCCTCGAGAGACTGAGACAGGGGGATGGTGATCTTGAAACTATAGAGCAAGGTCCTCTTTCTTTCTTTCTTTCTTTCCTTTATTTATTTATTGAAAAAAATTTCTGCCTCCTCCCAGCCTCCCATTTCCCTCCCCCTCCCTGCAAGGTCCTTTTTCAAAAGCAAACAGATACAGGCAAGAGGAACAACAATGGCTCCTGTTCATGAAACACTAAGAGAAGCACTGCGCTGGTGTCTTCTCATAATCTCTCAGCAAACCATCTCTGTTTATAGAAAGATGCTGTCTACATCCTTGCTTTAGAGCCAGGGCTTTCAGAGGTTCAATAACGTGGACCATAGAAAGGGGGCCTGGGTCTATACTATGTGATTTTTTTTTTTTGCACACTTTGTGAAGGTGTAGTGCTGTGAGTGGCTTAATAAAAAGCTAAACAGCAATAGTTAGGCAGGAGAGAATAGGAGGGGCTTCAGGGGACAGAGGCACATGGGAGATGCCAGGGAGGCATGGAGCAAGTCAGATGTACAGAATAGAAGAGAGGTAACAACACATGGCAGGATGTAGATTATTATCTCCGTGTCATTACTGGGGAGACGGCAGCCCAAGGAAAGTACAACTACAGGGGCCCAAGTGGACCTGCATCTCTCTGATCCCAGAGCTGGGACAGGAGCATTTCTTTTCCTGGCCACCTCAACAAGGGAATGAAGAAGGAAGCAGAGAAAGCTGCAACCTGGTCCCCACCTTAGGGGAGGTCCCTGCTGCAGTGCTGGGAGTTGACAGAGTCCCCTACCCTGCTTGTAGGGCTCAGCCTCCCAATTGAGCATCTAGGAAGCACCCATCACTAGGGCAGTAGCAAGACAGTGCACCATGTACTCTTCAGAGGAAGGCTCCTCACCCATTTGATATCTCTACGCTTTCATGAGTGGTTTTCTACAGTAACTCAAGAATCACAGTTCAAAAGGAGTGACATTTTTATACCGGGGTCTTGAATTTATGAAGATTTATTTTATTACTTTTAATTATGTGTGTGCACACGCACATGTGGATATGGGTGCCCATGGAGGGATCTGATTCCTCTGGAGTTGGAGTTACAGGCAGTTGTGAGTCATGCAATGTGGTTGCTGGGGACTAGACTTGGGCCCTCTAGAAGAGTACTCTTAACTGCTGAGCCATCTATCCGGCCCCAGGGTCTTAAATTTTTAAAATCACTATGTAGTTTTTGCTGGTCTGCCGTGCAAGTGTCAACCTTTAACACCCGCAGCCGGCTCCCTTCTCATTACTATGGAATCCATGCTGAATACTCTGCAAGTAGTTGGCAGATAAATCCCCTACCCCAGGGTCCTTGATCAAGTAACTCTGGAAATACATCAATTCATCTAGCAGCTCAGGCAGATACAACTGACAGAAGGAAAGGGGGCCGATTGCAGATCTCTGTTCTAGCTAGAGGCAAAGTGGGCAGAACAAGGGCTCAGTCTCTGGAGGAATCAAAGGGTTGGGCCCATTTCATCAGCGCAGCTTTCACAGCCCAGCTCTCATAGCAGAAACCGGTCTGGTCAGGATTCAAAGAAAAGCCGCAGGACAGAGGCATAGCTCAGTGATGGCGCACAGGCTGACGTGGGTTTAACTCTCCCTTTATCAAAATAGCAGTAATTGCTGTCATGGTCCTCGTTGTTGTCGTCATCATAAAATAAAAGCAACAAAACAATCCACATATGTGGTATACAAGCTTTTCAAAGACACCCCCGTGACTCTTCGGGATCCCTATTTACTAAACAAAGAGTAAAAAATGTTTTCCGTTTTCTAGAAAAGAAATGGGGACCTAAGGGGCTTGTCCAGGTCTTCTGAGTGGAAGTCTGCTCATTCCCCAACAGTATTAACAAATGCCACTTTGAGAACACCATGCTATGGTGGAAAACAGCAAATGCATTATTAGATATGTCCTCTTAACGATTCCACATATTTAAAATCATGTAATCCTGGTAAATAAACACACAGATGAACAGAGAGGTTAAGTCACTTGCCAAAGATCACCATGGAAGTGCTGGATTTGGACCTGGCAGGTCTGTGCTCTTTTTTTATTTTAGAGACAGGGTCTCTCTGTAGCCCTGACTGGCCTGGAACACACAGAGATCCATCTACCTCTGCCCCAGGTGCTGGGATTAAAGGCCTGTAATGCCACGCTCAACTCAGTTTTACCACGCAGTGGGAACAGCTGCTTTACGGTCTCTGCCATGTTGCCATGCTCCATCATGCTCCAGAACAACTGGACCATCACGACTGATGCAGCCCAAGACCTAGATCTGATGCCTAGAGTCGCGCCTGGCATGGAAGAGGCCGTTCAGATTGTTTGCTAAATACATGAAGCACACACATCTTATACCTATTCAATCTGGTAGCTACTTCCACAAGATGCCTTTGTTGCTGTTTCCAATGGTGCCTTTGAATCCCCCTTTCCAGTTTCCCTTTCTTAGCAATGGTCCTAAGACGACCTGTGTGAGGGATTCCTGCTGTGTCAACAGGCATCACTGTAAAAACCCATGTCCTTCTAACCTTACCCCACCACCACTTCCAAAATGCAGGCTGGAAAGGTCGGAAGCAGCACTCACGTGACAAGCCAGCTGCCCAGTTGCTTCTTCACATCCCCTCTGAGCTGTCACTGTTCGAGTAAAGAAACAGCCTTCCTTGGCCCGGAAATACTCAGAGCCCTCCGTATATCTTAAAGCAATCTTTAGACAATGACAGCGACTTTCCAGTCCTAAAAGCATCCTCCGTCAAGAGTAAAGTGGTTACCATTAAACATTTCTCCACTGCTCTTACCTTTTAAATGTGCTCCATCTCTCTAGACCATGCCAATCAAATTAATTAAAGCATGCTTAATCAATAAGGCTAGATCATCCCAGAGTGTCTACCTACACCGTCCGCTCCTTGGATGAACGTCTAGGGAGCAGGATAAGTGCAGGTGAATGCTGGGAAGTAGACCATAGGTCATCCCCATGGTGCTAAGAGTCAGATTTCAGAAATAACTGCCAGGCTGGCCAAATATGGGAGATGAGCACACGTTCATGCTCTAGCCAGGAGGCTGCCCGTCTGCTTGTCAGACAAAGGCTGCTGTGCACACCAGTTCTGATCAGCCGAGTCCTTCCCCCGAGGGGGAACACAGGAAAGAAGACTCCCCAACACAGGCTGAGAGGACACCCCAAAGTCAGGCAGGAGACACCAAGGGAGAAGCCCTCAGGGTGGGCTCTCAGCCCATTAATTGCTAGTCTCTCGTGTGGATCAGCATGATGGCCCAGGAGGGATTCACAAGCTCTGGGGACAGCGAAGAGGTCTGGGTCCTTGCCCTTCCTTGAATTGATGGTGAGCATAAATGTATAGCGCCTGCATGCACAGGTGTGCGTGTATGTGTGTACATATGCATGTGTGTGCTTGTGTATGTAGGTGTACATGTGTACATGCCTGTGTATGTGTGCGTGTGTACATGTGTATGTGTGCACATGTGTGTGTGCTTGTGTATGTATGTGTACATGTGTACATGCCTTGTGTGTGCATGTGTACGTGTATATGTGCACATGTGTGTATGTGTGTGTGTTTGTGTATGTGTATGTATGTGTACATGTGTACATGCCTGTGTATGTGTGCGTGTCTGTGCACATGTGTGTATGCGTGTGTGCTTGTGCGTGTGTATGTATGTGTACATGTGTACATGCCTGTGTATGTGTGCATGTGTGTGCACATGTGTGTATGCGTGTGTGCTTGTGTATGTGTTTGTATGTGTACGTGTGTACATGCCTGTGTATGTGTGTATGTGCACACACACGCGCACACCTGTTGGGCAGCAAGAGCCCCAGTTCTCAGTAGCTATAAATGAAAGGTATCAGGTGAGGTGGTAGTTGTTGTAGAAGCTGGTAAGAGTTGCCACGTGAGAGACTGCATTATCTGAAACTTTTCAATAAGTCTGAAGTACTCTAAAAAGTTAATTTAAAAAAGACATAAGGCTGAGTGTGGTGGTATACACCTTTAATCTTGGGACTCAGAAGGCAGAGACAAACAGATCTTTGTGGATTCAAAGACAGCTTGGTGTACCAAGTGAGTTCCAGGCCAGCCAAGCTATTTAGTGAGACCCTGTCTTAAGATAGATAATTAATAAGTAGACGCAAGATTTGACCTATAAACATTCTACGTGGAGCAGGAGAGGGACTCCTGGAGCCCAGTGCCTTCCTGAGGATCTCTGGGCAGCTAATGGTAGAGGAGGAAGGGAGAAACATTTTCTTGAGTGCTGTAAGCTGTAAGGGTAGAGTACTCAAGTGCCTGTAAACTATACCTCATCCGCGCTTCTGTAAGTAACTCTAAATCCAGAGGCTCACCAAAAGAAAAAAGACATGGAAACGGGAGGGGACTAGTTGGGGAGAGAAAGGGAATCAGTAGGATTAGGAGGGGGAAAACAAAGGGTATTGAAGGGTAAACATAAAAATACTATATATACATGAAAATAAAATCAAAGCCATTATTATATGTAATTAATAGATATTAATAAAAAATTTAAAGACATATTTCTTTTTTATCAAAGGATTTATTTTTAACTTTTATTTATGTATATGTGTGTCTATCTGTATGTATGTTACATACATGTAGGTACATGAGGAGACCAGAAGAGGGGGTTGGATTCCCTTAAGCTAGAGGTCTAGGCTATTGGTGAGTTGCCTGATGTGGGTGCTGGGAGCTGAACTCTGATCCCCTGCAAGAGCAGGATGTGCTCCTGACGGAGACACCTCTCCAATCCCAGTGAAAACCTTCAAGAGCCCTTCCTTCTCACTTGTCAACAATTACAATACATAATAGTTACTTATGGTCACAGAGCCGCTCACTCTGGCTCGCTGGAACCTGGCTCACTGGCCACCCTAGTCTCCCCTGCCCCCTCCCCCAGCCTCCTCAGTCTCTGGTAACCTCCAGCGGACTCTTGATTTCTGTGATATCAACCTTTGCTGAGCCCATGAGAGTAATATCACAAAGCATTGTCTTTGTGCGCCTGACTCACGTCTATTATCCAAAAGCTGGCCAGTTCTCTTCATTCATTCACCGCTGATATTTATTTGTTCATTCACTTGCCTGGTTTGCAGGTGCGTCCCACGAGGCAAAGGTTCACCTGCCTCTGCTTTGGTTTGGATGGGGGTGGAGGTGGGGATGGTCTCCACAAATCACCATTGAACAGGAGTCTGTGCCTGCAAAGCGTCCCAAGCCAGAAGACCATACTGCTCCTAGCCTGGCAGAGGTACCCTTAGGAGCCTAGACCTGGGACCCCAGGACAGCCTGTTTGTCCTGAATCTGTCACAGATTTATGGAAGTGGGCAAATGCCTTGACCTTCTGATCAAACACGTAAAACTAAAAAACAATGGAGATGGACATGTGAAGTGGGGGCTTTCTTCCAGCCTTGACTCCGAGCCTTAGAGATGGCCATATCAGACAAGCTGCGCGAGCTGGTGACCTGGATTCTCCACAGCAACTTCCTCTTTGACCTTGGGCCAGTCCTCAAGGATAGAAGAACTCCACTTGGAAACCAACTGGCCCTGGAATTTTTTTTTTTTTCAACTTGCTGGAGGCCAGGGTTGTAATTCTCACTCCTCCACTCATTCAAATGGCCGAGCTGATTAACAGCTAAGTCCCCCATTTTCTGCAAAATGTGAGCAATGCACACGGGCTGCTCACTCACGGGACTGTGAAGAAGCCAAAGGACACAGCTCGTGCAAACAGCCTTCACCATGGGCAAGCTGGGATACCATGCGACTTCAGAACCGCCAGGTTGTGTGAGACAAATGCCCGGGGTACGCCTACCTGGCAGCCTCCTTCAGGGTGGAGTGGCTTTTAAAAGCAAATCACAACATCACCTGATGATAGATGCACCTGTGCAGGCAGGATCGGGATTGTAGAACAGGCCTCACCACGGCCACACCCAGAGGCACACCCCCCCCACAACCCCTCCAGAAAGCTCCCCTTTCTTTCAGCTGCAAACACCCTGAGCTGAGGCTATTACCGTGCGATGACACCCACAGCCGACGCTGAACTGACTCTTTATAATGACAAATCATTCTGCCCACTGGCATGGAAGGTGGGGCCACCATGCCATTCCCCAGCCTCCGTTGAGGACAAAAGGCATCAAAGTCAAAGCCTTTGGAAGGATTAGCGCTGGTTCCCAGTGTCTGCATTCTCTCTTGCTGACAACACAGACCTCATTCAGCGGCTCACAGCCCATCCGGCAAGCCAGTTCTCAAAGAGCCACATTCAACACGGTATTTCTAAAATTCTAAGGCCATGTTGCCTATTTCTAGTGTGGTTTGCAGCTTAACAGGGATGGATAGGACTAGGCATTAGAGAGGGAGGGACGAGCTAAATATTTCTATGCCCGTGCTATGCCCATGCTATGCCCATTGTCAGTAGCCACCTAGATGATAGACAACTGAGAGGCCAGGCATGCAAAGTACACACATCTGTACCTGTGGAGGGGCAGGGCTTGGAGGCCACAGGATGGTGTTGTGGGAGCCAGTGTCCTCCTGTTGGAAGCAAAGGGTCTTCCTGTTAGGGCACAGGGTGAGAAAGAAACATCTTCCAGGACCTTTAGTTTCTACACCTGCCCAGCTTGTGGTTGCTGTAGCCCAAGGTGACATCACCTACTGTGGCTTGGGCCCTCCCTTGTCAATAATAATATAAAAAATGCCCCACAGGCTTGCTCACAGGCCAGTCTGGTGGGGACTTTCAATTGAGGTTTTCTCTTTCAAAATGACTAGCTTGTCTCAAATTGATGTAAAACTAGCCAGCACAGATACCCAAGGGAAGTCAGACACCAGACGGAGGGGAATCTATAGCATGAAGATGTGGGAGACAGTCAGGGCCAGGACTCAGCACACTTTCCCCTCATCCTTTGCGCTGGTGACAAAGCTGATCTTTAATCTAGACAGAGGAGGATCACCAAAACTCACGACCTTTCTTCTAAGGACCCACTTTTAGGCAGACTATAGAGGGACCTCTGCCAAGTGTATCTTCATAGATGAAGAATCTAAGAAATGGACACTTGGGCAGGGCAGGAGAGTGTGGGAGGCAGAGAACCCAGTGAGAAGCATTACCAATGCGGCAGGTGTGAAATAAAAGGGACATGGACTTGTCAAGGGAGAAAGTGGCTGGACAAGAGAACAGGATGGCTCTGTCTTCCCTTCTCCTTTAAGAAATGGCTCCAAGCAATGCTGAAGGCTGCCATTGTGCCCTGCAGAGTAGATATAAGACTTGGGGTGGACCACTTCACATGCAGACACAGTATCTGACCCCAGAGTGGGAATACAACACACTTAGAATGGGTCTGATTCTTTACAGGGGTCAGGTCAGGATGGACCACTAGCTGGGGAAAACATGACCACTTATCTACTGTCAGCACCTCTTTTCACCCCACTAGACTAGAGGTATCTCCTGAACATTTAGAAGGGGGGAAATAGAGCAAGATCCAAAGGGGAAAGCTCCTGCATGATCTGCTGGAGCCCTGGACTCAGTCAACACTGTAAATAGAGCCATGGCCTTCTCAGTTCTGTAAGCCAGCCCCCCTTCTCTGCTTGTGATCATTTGTAGAAATGGGGTACCTGTCTCTTAGAATCCTCTAAAGGCCTAAACAGAAATTCACAAGGCTAAACGGCCAGACCACCCACTAACGCACTGACCAACCATAGGATGTTGTATTAGGCGTGTAAAGAGACAGCGGGTAGAGTCAGGGTGACCTTCAGATTGTGGTTTTTAAATGGCAGGAGAGTTCGTGCTACCCAGGAGGAGAAATGCAGGATGAGAAGCAGAATGATGAGAAAGGTTGAGTTGGGTTTGAGGAATTCAGGAGGGTGTGGTTGTACCAATAAAGGTCTCTAGAAGATTTAAAAAGATGAACCCGGGGCCTCATCTCCATGAGGAACCCCAACCTACAGCCAAACACTCCCACACTTTATCCCTGTGCTTCTCTGTGGAAGGCAAACCTCATCCTGTTCCTGGAATCCTAAGACAACTGTACAAAGGCCCACCGGCTTGTGCCTGGTTTGACTAGAGATGTGGAAACTCCCAGAGCCATGAAGGATTCCCTGTCTACTCTCAGAAGGCAGAGCTAGAGGATAGAGGATGGGAATGGAGCTGGTAGGAGGTGGGAACTGAGGGAAAGAGTGGGAGGAAGGTATTTCACTTCTAGAACATCTTTACTTTGAACTAGCAAAGCCTTGGAGCATTAAAATAGACGTTGTTGGTGAGAATACAGTGAGAGGACCGAAGAGCAAGATAGCATCTTTTTGGAAAGCATTTTGCAACATATATAGTAAGAGCCTTGCAAAAGTCCTTGCCCTAGGACCCAGAAGTTCCATCTCTATGGAATCTGTGCTTGATAAAGAAAAGTATCTCATTCTGGACAGCATGATTTGTGAGAATAATGGGGAGAAAATGTAAGTCATCCTAAACTGTTGATATTCAGATTGAAGTTCATCTTGAGTAAGGCAGGTGTGGTAGTTTGAATGAGAAAGGCCTCCACAGGTGTATGTGTGTGTGTATGCCTTGTGGTTGTGTCTCAAGATGTGAGCTCTCAGTTACTGCTCCAGTGCTGTGTCTGCTTACCTGATGCCATGATCCCCACCATGATGGCCATGGACTGTTCAATGAAACCGTAAGTCTCAAATAAATCCTTTCTTCTACAGGTTGCCTTGGCCATGGTGTTTTGTCCCAGCGGGTTTGCTCATCATCCCTAGGGTTGTGTTAAAGTAGCTAAAGCAAATATTTCTTTAGTCTAGGGACGTTCCTCAATGCTGATGGCTTGTGTTAGATAATTCTTTTGGAGACTGTAGAGTATTTTGCAGAATTATGACTTCTTCCAACTACAGACCGATAACACCCTTTGTCACTGTGGTGACAACCAAGACTATAGCTAGATATTGCCACATGACCCTTTCCCATGGAAGACAGCATGGCCCCAGGGTAAGAACTACTGCTCCACCCTGTTTGTAGCTAGCAGCAGGGCCTATGAGGAGCTTGGAGCTTAGACGGATCTGTAAACCTCAGAAGGGAAGGGAAGCTAGCTGGTATATGAGGAGGAATAGGGGCCAAAGTATGTCTAGTGCCCCTCAAGGGCTCTCGTCTGATGGCCATGCCCGCCTCCACTCTAGCTCATGATGGAATGTTCCTGTAAGGGACAAGTTCAAGAAGGCTGACCAGCCAACAGGCACCTTTATTGACTCCCAGGGTATTTTTAAATAATTGAAATTAGCTTCTAACATGTTTTATGATTTTGAGGGTGTTTTTGTTTGTTTGTATGTTTTGCTTTTGAGACTGAGTCTTCTACTTCATAGACCAGGCTGGCCTTGAACTCTGAGGAGAGCCACATGCCTCTGCTTCCTATTAAGGTTGTGTGCCACCATGCCCAGCTGTGAACATGTTTTTAAATGTAAGACTTCTTTCTACAATCTTTGAGAATCACAGGTGTAATAAGTTCCCGACACATTTTGTGAGGTTAATAATAAACCAGCCCCCCCCCAGAGTATCTTCTTTATGAACTTGGACACAAAAGTCCAAACAATATATTAACAACAAAACAAAATAAAAACAAAAACACTGTAACATAGTATTAAAATATTTATATGCAATGGCCACATGAGGTTTATTCCAGTTATGCAAGAAGGAAATAATATAATAACATCAATTGATGCAAAGAAATCCCTAACAAAATTCAACTGAATGATTTTAAAACATCCTAAATAAACTAGATGTCTCAACTTGATAAACCATGTTTGTTTAAAAAAACAAACCTAACCAGGCAGTGGTGACACATGTCTTTAATCCCAGGACTCAAGAAGCAGAGGCAGGCAGATCACTATGAGTTAGAGGCCAGCCTGGTCTACAGAGCAAGTTCCAGGACAGCCAAGGTTTAACAGAGAAACCCTGTCTTGCAAAACCAAAACCATACAAACCAACAAAACAAACCTTATAGTTATTAGCTTCCTTAACATTAGAAAACTCAACGATCTCCCCTTGAGAGTAGGAATAAGGGCAAAGTATTCATTCTTTCTACCCTTAGTTAACAAAGCAATGGGCATCCCTGTCACTATGAAATAAGAAAAAGAAGAAGAAATTAAAACTGCTCAGAGGTTGTGGAGGGAGTAAAACTGTCTCTATTTACAAATTACATAATTTCATAGTAATTCTCAAAGAATTACAATAAAAACAGCAACACCAAAAAAATCATTGCAACTAATAACTGAGTTAACCACAGAATACAACAACACACAAAACCCAGTTCCCTAAATATAAATATGTGGACCCTGAAGTGATTCTCTATGTTTGTTTGTTTGTTTGTTTCGAGACAAGGTTTCTCTGTAGCTTTGGAGCCTGTCCTGGAACTAGCTCTTATAGACTAGGCTGACCTGGAATTTCCAGAGATCCGCCTGCCTCTGCCTCCTAAGTGCTGGGATTAAAGGCGCACGCCACCACCGCCTAGCTGATTCTTTACTATTTATAGTCACTCTAAAGAAAAATGTAGTACTTAGGTAAAAACTTGACAACACATAGACAGATCTGTTTGCTAAGGATTATCAAATGATTTTAAGAAAAAGAAAGAAACGAAGGAAGGAAGGAAGGAAGGAAGGAAAAGAAAGAAAGAAAGAAAGGCCCTATAAATGGAGCCAGAAAACAACCTAACTGATCAAAGAAATCAATTCTTCTCTACTTTATCTACTCCTTAATGTGATTCTTTTTTTTTAAAGATTTATTTATTTATTAAGCATACAATGTACTGCTGGCAAGTAAGGTACCAGGTCTCATTACAGATGGTTGTGAGCCACCATGTGGTTGCTGGGAACTGAACTCGGGACCTCTGGAAGAGCAGCCAGTGCTCTTACCCTCTGAGCCATCTCTCCAGCCCCCCTTAATGTGATTCTTATCAAAATCCCAGCAACTCTTTTGTAGACATAGTTTTATTCTAGCATTTATATGGGAAACCCACAGATCATGGCGAAGACTCACTCTATTTGACCTTAGGACTTAACACACAACTGCCACGACCAAGAGAGCCATCACAGCTTCCATTCTGTGTGCCTGTTCTAAGTGTATAGAAGTTCATTGAGGTTCTAGACTTTGGATCTGGATTATGTTGGTGTGATTTTTTTATTTATTTGCAAGATTTTTAAAAATAAAGTTTATAAATTCTTTTTTAAGAATCTAACTATAAAGAGTATCAGTGTTGTAGAACAGAGGACCTAGGCTAAACCTACACAAATATACCTAACCGGTTTGTGAAAAAGGTGCAAGATCCATTCGATGGGAATAAAAACAGTCTCTTTTCAACAATAAAGCTGGGACATGGGCATTCATGGCCAAAACAATAAATGTCAAAATTACAAACAAACAAAACCTTCATCTTCAAGGGAATGAGAACATAAACCAGAGATCAGAAGACAGTATTTGCAAAAGAAACATCTAAAAGAGAACTGCTATTCAAAATATATTTAAAATGAACCCTTAACATTCAGTAGTAAGATGCGGACCATGG